ATAATTTCTTTGCTTTGCTTCCCCCTCTTCTCTGTAAGTCTCCCCCAAGCTCCTGTTTGTGGAAAACTCTTAACCACTTCTTGTTTGCTGCTACCCCATTCCAATCACTTTTCGATCAAATAAACTCTTAAAATTTTTAACATGCTTCAGTTTATCTTTTAACAATCTTAAAATTTTAACATGTTAAAATTTTTAACATGCTTCAGTTTATCTTTTAACAATCTTCAATTGGCAAACGTTTCCTTTTCTTCAAAAAGGAATTCTTCCTCTTCCACTTCCCAGGTATTACAACATTTAAAAAGTATTACATTTCCCAAGTATTACAACATTTAAAAAACTGAAAGCTGTTTTTTCAGTTTAATAAAATAAGAAAGTAGTTCCTTTTGGCAAGCTGTGTTTGTTTACATTTTATGTTCCTATTGTTTTTAGGTAGTGATACCAGCTACCAGTCAGACCCACACTGGAATGCATTACTTAGGTGTATCACAACTTCCAGGTTGAGGTAGAGAAAAACAATTAGCTATTCATAAAGCTACTTTTAAAGCTAGTTGCTTATTTAATACTAGCTTTTGCCTAAAGTACAACTATAAATACTTTTAAGTATGTTATACAATAAGTATGCTTGAAATGCTTATGGCACTATATTTTATACTGGGGAATGAGTCTCAGAAAATACTTTTGTATGTAATGGTACTCTCACATCAGATGGCCATACTTAAGTCCTTTTCCAGAGGAGGAAATGAGAGGAACCAATGATCCCTTCCCCCACTCTGAATATCTTTTGCCAGCACTGATTTGAGGATGAACCTCCTTATTTCCTGGCATTGTTACTCATTCCCCACCTTCTGTCTCATTCCTCTTCTCTTATAGAAACTCAGCCTAGAAGAGTTGATGTGTAATCTTTCATTTCACCTTGCCTGGGTTGATTTAGACACATGAATTATGGGAAAGTGCATGATGTTATGTTGTATATGTGTTTGTTTTTCAATTTACATAAATGGTGTTGTGTATATTTCATTCTGTTTTTTTCCACATTCTTATGTTTTTAGATGGCTATGTATGAATCCAGTTCATCACTTCTGACTCTCAGAAAGTATGCTTTTGTGTATGTGTGCAACAGCACACACAGACACATGCATGTGTACACATACGTTTTATATTTTAAATCTCTATTCCTCTAGGGATAGTCACTTAAGCTGCTCTTCTTTGCTAACATAAAAAATTCTACAATAAATATGTGTGTGCATTTCTCATTGAGCACCTATGCAGAAATTTGTGGGGTGGGGGGAGGAATACCCAGGAATCGGTTAATTTTAATAACAACTCCCGCCATCAGCAGAGGAATACTTCAGCAATACTTGATATTATCTCATCATTCTGGCTATACGTTGTTGGCTATAAATTGCTCTTTTTATTTAATTTGCATTTATTTAATTAATAGTGAAAATTTAACTATTGGCATTTCCTTTTCTCTGAATTGCCCTTTAATATGCTTTGCTCCGTTTTCTGTTGTTTTTTTTCATCTCTTTGGAGTGTGTGTGTGTGTGTGTGTGTGTGTGTGTGTGTGTGTGTAATAATCCCTTGTATATTTCACATCAGTAGTTCTCAACTGAACTTGAAGTACCCATATGTCTTGTGGAGGCAGGGACCCCCAAAGTCCCATCCAGGAAGTTCACAGGTCAACACTATTTCCATAATAATTATAAAATTTTCTTTGCCATCTTCACTGTGTTGACATTTGTACTGTTGCCACAGAACAATGGTGAGTAAAATTGCTGGAGCCTTAGCACAAATCAAGACAGTAGCATCAAACTGTACTAGTAGTCTTTGTATTCACCCCCATTATGCAGACGCTGGAGACCAAAAAAAAAGAAAACTCCAGCTCATTTAAGAATGTCCTTGATGAAACAGTAACTATCATTAATTTTATTAAATGCCAGTGTTGGCCATGTCTTTAATATTCTGCGTGATGACATGGGAATCACACATGAAGCACTTCTGCTGAGTACTGAACTATGAGGATGATCTCGAGGAAAAGCACTTGGGAGATTGTGTGATTCGCAGGCTGAACTACCCCCTATTTGAACATTATGTTTACTTCAGAGAACAACTGACAAACCATGACTATTCATACCTGGATATTTGGCAGATATTTTCTTGAAAATGAACAAAGTAGTCCTGCCACATTAAGGAAAACAACTGACAGTATTTGTTGCTAGATATAACTTGAAATTTCAAGGGAAAATTAGAATTTTGGAAAAAATGTAACTGCCAGTGTGAGCTTGAGAGCTTCCAGCGTTTTAAGATTCTTTAATGAAATTGGTGGTGATATTAATGAATGTGACTTTTTGATATTATATAATAAAATGTGTAATCTTTTAGAGAGTCCACATAGTTCCATGCGTCTATATTTTCCAAATGACCAATGCGTGATTTTACAAAACCATGCATGGGTGAAAGACCCATTCAAAGTACAAGATAAACCAATGAATTTTAACATAACGAATATGAGAAGTTCACTGGTATATTTCAGATTCCACACTCCAAGTTTAATAATGCTAGATACAGGAGAACTCAAAAGCCTAAAACCTAATAATTGCTAATAATCCCTGAACCAGTATTCTATGAATCACTTTTTTGTTGTTATTTTTTATTTGATGAAAACAGTACTGGTATTTAATTACAAATACCTACTAAAAGTAGATACCACCCAGGTTGGGTGCTGTTTATTCTCTGGAATTCCAACTCCTTGAGATATATATTCAGAGCTTGTAAATATCAGAGCAAACAGGAATCTTTTAAAACATCATTTCTGATATGACTTAGAGAGAAACATGTACTCAGATTTTCATTTTTTGATTGTTACATAATTTAAGCTTCAGAAAATTAGTCTACAGCTCATCAGCTAAAATTCTAGCAGAGATAATTTGGCCGTCTACAAGATAAAAGATAATGAAAAAGGAATGTTTAGCAGTATCAAGTGTGGAATTTGGCTTCCAAAATGGGAGGAAACATGATTCATAATGTCCACTGTTTATGTCATATATATTAGAAAGATTTAGACTATGAAGAGTCTCCATTTGAAAAAAGAATACTATACCTACGATAGTGGAAGAATATGGCTCTTTCATAGCAATGTGCTCATTTACCTAACATACAGATAAAGTCTCTTTTAGAGGTTACCTTTACCAAATCTCACAGTTAAAATTACAAAATCACCCTTAGAGAACTAGTTGAGATAAAAGAGTAATAAGTAAAATTTACCTTCATGGGGAGTATTCTTTTATTTGTACCTCCAAACAAGAATGGGACATCAAATGTATTCATGTCAGTAATTTTGATGTTTAAGTATTAAAATGAGAAAAGCAAAATCAGATATATGAGTCAACTCACTTCGCACTGTTGAAGAAAAAGGGAACCACAGGCCCAGAATTTAAAAACAAAAACGTTGTTTATAGGTTTGTTTTACAAGAGTGAAACATGGGCATGCTCACCAGTCAGAGGCTGGGGACCGTCCACCCCAGTTCTCTAACTCATCCAAATTCCAGATTTTCTTTATACATGAGTAAGACAGAGACTTGTTTTATGAGCACTAGTTGGGGAAGAACCATCAGAGAGGGAAGATGAGACTTAGGGAAACTCAGAATAAAGAGGAAGGTGGACCGTGCCATGTTAGCAACCTTTCAGAAGCTTGAAAGGGCACTGGCTACATGCAGGATTCAGGATTGCCCTTAACACGTTAACACATTTAAAATCTATAAATCCAGGGAAATAAAACATTGTAGGTTTTTTAATGAGTCACAGTGTTTGTCTGGGGTGGGAACTCTTTAATGATTGCTTTCATAGTTCCAATTTTTGACTTGTTAAATGTATGACCTGTTTTTAATCATATAAAAACAATGATTCTAGAGGTGCTGGTTTCTTCATGCACATCCTCCGCCATTTCAAATGTTAACTCTTATAGTCCCGTCAGAGAGTGGAAAATCCTTATCACTTACATGAATCTGAAGATTTTCTGGTTTTCTCAGGAAATGGTCTCTGAATTATTAACAATATTCTAGTATAACAGATTTAAATTATTCTGATTTGTAATTGGTGGAGAGGAGAGCTTTATAGAGATTTGTCAAGAACATTGAAACAGTACCTTTCTACTGAGCTTAAGATTTTATAGACATCATAAAGGCATTTTAAAGTGAATAGAACAATTTTTAATGTTTGCCCATATATGAAGAAAGTATTTTTCTTACATGGTAGCATTTAATGAATGATTATGTTGTGTCAAAAGGAGATTTCTATTTAAATATGAGAAAAATGTTGAAAAATTTATTAGGTGACAGTTATGCTGCAGCAAACTACTGTAGGGTGATTTGGAATGGGGAGAAAATATCAGTTAGAACATCTCCATATAATAAAATGAGAAGTATTTGGTGAAAAACCCTCCATGACCAGTGTGTACTTACACAACCCATAGCAGAGACTACAGTATAAAGATAGAGAAACTGAAGATACTTTTGTACTTGTTTTTTGCCATCATTGTTGTCTTTATCTTTTCTTATTCTAATACTCAAAGTTCTCAAAGAGGTTTGCATGTTTTATTTTAATGGAAATTTCTTGAAGGCTAAAGCAGTTGAGACACATTAACAGTTATATTGACATTAGTTTCATAGTAATGTCATTGAGGTTATTTTGAGAAGATAACATTCTCATTTTTCACTTTGCTAACTCATACTTACATATCATAATCAACCAAATGCTTTCAGTACTTATATTTTGAGGACACATTGCCCTTTTCAAATCTTGTTCCTACATATTGCTTTACTTAAGAAAAAAAGTATACCATCAGAGAAAGACATTTTGAAGCTAAGCTTGATATATGCTTGTTTTGTATTATTTAAAATCTTTACTAATAAATAAAAATGTTCCATTTTCAAATTTGATATCATCAGCATCGTTATCCTGAAATCAATGAAATTATAGTTTTTTATGCCTTGTCTCCTCAGATAAATTTACAAAGAAAAATGAGAGTTACTGGTGTGATTACTCAAGGAGCCAAGAGGATTGGAAGCCCAGAATATACAAAATCCTACAAAATTGCCTATAGTAATGATGGAAAGACTTGGGCAATGTACACAGTGAAAGGCACCAATGAGGATATGGTAAGGCTTACATGACATTATTAATTTGAAAGTAAACTCCCATAAATGATTGTGGATTACCAAATGATTACTGAATATTCAACATAAGTCTTATGCTGTTGAAAATAAATTTGATTCTTTTAATTGGACCAGTGGTGTGGAGAAGGTACGGTGTTATCCCAAATTATCAGTGTACAGTAGTGACCTTTTAAATCTTTCTCAGATTTTAACTGGTGGTCCTATAAACACTTTATCACAAGGTTAGCATAGTCCTGTGTATGAAATTAACTTTTATTTTAACAACAGTCAGCTTTCAATATTTCATTTTATTGCTTTGACAGATTAGCACTCTCCTTAATCAAATAAATACAGATCAAAACTATTATTTTTAAAGAAAAAATATAATTTTTAAAGAAAAACACCAAGTTATAGAAAACATAAATATCTTTACTTCATATTGGAAGAAAATTTTGTTATTTAGCAGAATAAAATATTTTAGAAGAAATGGATATAATATTCCATGTCTCCTTTGCCTTTTCATATATTTCTAATTTTTTAATTAGTTTTACCCCCAACTTTTAATTTAAAAAAATCAGCACTGCAGCTCATTCCATTTAAAACTGAGTCAATTTAGACTAGACTCTCATATATTTTATGAATGATTTTTTAAGTTACCTTCTTAAATGAATTTAAATAGGTTTTCTGATTACCAGGTTATGTAGAGGGTAAAATGAGAGTGAGATTTAAATGAATTAAAAATAACACATTTTAGCACTTAATTTTTAGAGAGAAATTAGCTTTTCACTGGAGATATATATGAAGAATTAGGAGTCTCTTATCTGGGACAGACTGATAAGGAAGTAATCTTGAGGAATCAGACCCTAAAATGACATAAATCTGATCACAGTGTTAGAGAAACTGAGTGATCAGGAAGCAATAGTGAAGACTGGTTCCTAAAAACAAAATGAAACAAAAAAACTATAATTACTAAGTAGCAAAATGAGCAGACAGACCCCTGTCCCAGATTAAGTTGAAAGATTAAGGTAGTCTGAAGGACTGGCCTGAAATTGAAACGACCATCATAGCAGGGTATAGATTAAGCCATAGGTCACAGTGGTTTACAGCTTTAATGAGGATTCTGTCTATAGGTTTGTAGGGTTTTTTTAGGGAAAAAAGCATTATATTTTATTTATATCAATAGAAGAAAAATAAAATACTAAGGTTGTAGAAAGGTATTAAATATTGAATTTACAGAAAATTATATTTATTTCACTTCTCATGGCAAGGTGGTTTCTAAATGCTCCAGACCCCTAGATTATTTAATCCAATCTTTGAGAGATTATGTTGTGTATGTAGGATATAGGGTCAATATATGAAAATAGTTTTTTTTAAAAAGCTGTTGCAATTAATAATTTTAAACTCTATCTTATCTCTTTTCATAGGTGTTCCATGGAAATGTTGATAACAACACACCCTATGCTAACTCTTTCACGCCCCCCATAAAAGCTCAGTATGTGAGACTCTATCCACAAGTTTGTCGAAGACACTGCACTTTGAGAATGGAGCTTCTTGGATGTGAACTGTCAGGTGAGTCTCATATTATGTATTTCTGTACTCTCTTTAAAGGAAAAAAAAGTACATTTGTATGTATTGTGTTACGAACTTGCAATTTTTCAACACTCATAGATGTTCATTTCTGCTACAAAATGTCTAGGGCTTGGTTCAATGAGAAAGAGAGAGAGAAAAGGAGAGAGGAGGATAAACAAGTTCTAAAACACTCTACAGAATAGAATTAATGTAGAAGGGGCAATGTATTTCTTTGAGTGGTCAAAGAAAGTACAACAAATTTTCATTGGAAACTTTTGTCAAATATAAATGTGCCTTGATTTTAATAGTAACTATGATTTATGTTTTATGACAGAATTTCAGTAAAAACTGGAATCTGCCTGACCTCATAAATTGCAGTTACATTTAGGCTATACAGCATAGAAAAGTAAGCTTTATCTTTGTACATCTACCATAAGAATTTAGTTTTGTCTTTTTTTTTTAGGTTTTATGAAACATGTAAATTTATCATTGCTTCCAAGAGACAATACTTTACAACCAAGATTGCTACTATAAATTCATTCTTAGATCATTCTTATCTAACAACCTGCTTATTGTACGAACAGTGGTTTTCGAACACAAAGATAATCTATCAAGGGACTCAGATTTAAATAATCCTTGTCTTCCAGGAGCATCAGGACTAGATATAAAGATGAAGACTTTATGAGTGGATCTCACAGTCATTCACTTTCAATCTAGCTAGATTCTGAACTAAACAGAAAATCTGTCTAGGCATTTCACTGTGCTATATTTTTGGTGGTTCTTATATTTCTATCATCAACATTTACAAACTATCTTTGCCATTTTGGCCTGAGATTTTGTTCAAACCACTGTGTTTTTAAGAGACTAAAAATTCATGTGTGCCCCACTTTTTAGTGTAACCTCCAAGTATCAGAGACTTTTGTCATACTTACAGAAGTGCCGTTTAGTTAAAAATAGGACACATCCCTGAAAAGAGACAACTGAGAGCTTTTTATTCATTTCAAAATGTTGCATATAGGTTAAAACGCACACTTTATCTACTTCCTTTCTTGGGTTTATTTGTGATGTTAAGAAAGGGAATGATTTTCAGGGAAACAGAAGTTACTCTTAAAAAACAACCAAACTTTAAATGAACCCATTACATTCAAAGGAGTTAGAGACATTTGGGCAGATGAATGAATCTATTGATATTTTAAGAATCACATTTTCATATTATATATGGGTGTCTTTTATGAAGCAATCAACATACAGTTTTAGTACCATTAATTATCATAATGGGGATGTTTTCCTTATTTTGGTAATTTGAACTGGCTTATTGACTACCAGTAAATCTCAGCAGAATTATTGCTGCATGGTGTTTATATTGCATGTCACTATATCACCACAGGCCAGTGTCATCCGTAGTCATTCATCATAAAGCAATCAAGAGGAAGCCACAGCATGATGAAGTTTGCTGTTAAGTCCCATGCTTTTTAGTTGCTACAACACCGCCTTCCCCAATTTTTCAGTCTTTTGATTCATGAGGGCCAGTCTCTCAGACATGGCACAGTTACACCCCTAAGACATGAATATATTTTACTTTCAGGTTTGACAAGAGGTTACACCTGACCCTTTACGGATTTTTATGTTTTCAAAAAGAAGCCACACTTCATCTCCCAACCCCACAAAATGATTTTGAAAGTGTATGCAGAGAATAATACCTCTTAATGAATGCTTATGAAAAAATAAATAAATAAAAATTTGAAAAACAATGGGACTTCCCCGGCGGTCCAGTGGTTAAGACTCTGCGCTCCCGATGCAGGGGGCACGGGTTTGATCCCTGGTCAGGGAACTAAGATCCCACATGCCCTGTGGTGTGGCCAAAAAAATTAATAAAAATTTAATCTTTCTCTGTCAATTTGCCTCACACCACCAATTTCCCTTCTCATCCATATGATTTTATATGTATAAATTAACTCTTTTACCAACATGGAGAGCACCTGAACAAAATGAGGTATTAACAACAAAATTGATTAAGGTAGTCAGAAGGACTGGCCTTAAATTGAAACGACCATCATAGCAGGGTATAGATTAAGCCATAGGTCACAGTGGTTTACAGCTTTAATGAGGATTCTGTCTATAGGTTTGTAGGGTTTTTTTAGGGAAAAAAGCATTATATTTTATTTATATCAATAGAAGAAAAATAAAATACTAAGGTTGTAGAAAGGTATTAAATATTGAATTTACAGAAAATTATATTTATTTCACTTCTCATGGCAAGGTGCTTTCACTTTAGAAATGATCAATTTTGTTGTTAATGCCTTATTTTGTTCAGGTGCTCTCCATGTTGGTAAAAGAGTTAATTTATACATATAAAATCATATGGATGAGAAGGGAAATTGGTGGTGTGAGGCAAATTGACAGAGAGGTTAGCTATAACACTTGGAAATAAACATTAGTAGAATGTACCAAACTATTTCCCACAATCCAGTGCAACACTGTAAAGCCCAAGGCTGCTTTATTGTATTCAATAAACTGTTATAAGAGCTCTCAGCCTGCCTAGAAGATAGCAGATACTTTTTCCAGATACTTACAAAGAAAATTCCCCTAAATTCTCAAAAGAGATATGATTTAAGATGTTTAGAATGAAATGGGTCATGACCGTAATTGATAGAAGAATAGTCATTCATTCATTCTTTGAACAAATTATTCAGCACTTCCCTGGGCTGAGTACTAGACAGCAGAGTGGGTAATGAAATGAATTCTATAACTAAGCAGAAATGGTCAAAGTAAAGGTATGCCTTTTCTATCCAATACTTCAAAAACTGTGTTACATCTCAAAAAGGAGAAAAGCAACTTTGTGTCTCTTTCCTTTGTGTCTCTTCTGCAAGCCAAGCAGTTGTACAAACATTCCAGTGGCAAGGTTGGGGGCTGGTGGTGATAACAGAAGAAAAATTCAGAAATCCATAATACAGACAATGCATGTTACCTTAGAACTGCTTGAAGATAAAGAGCATGCTATTAAGACTTTAGAACTTTCTAAAATCTTTGAGATTTTTGTCATGAAATTTTTCTTTTTCAGAATTTGTATTTAGGATTTAGAACTACTTATATTATGGAACTTGGGGTATAGGTCTCCTATGCCTGCAACTCAACAAAACCTGAGCTAAGACATCCAATTGGCTAGCCCTCTATGTCAGTCTCTGTCATGTTTGCATAGGATAGGAATTTCCTAGAAGGTGGAGGTGAAGGCAAATATGGAGGAGCCTCAAGAAGGAAGACTTGGCTGGATCGACTAGGACAGAAAGCAAGTAATTGTAATTAAGAATTATATTTATCAGTGAAAAGTTCTAAACCACCTCTCTTAGAGCCTGGACTGAAAATGGTCTAGTTTCAGAAATTGCAGCCAATCATAGGATATTCTTTAATACTCACTGGTATGCTGATTTGGGGACTTAATACTGTCATCTGTTGGAATAAGCTTTATGGAGATAATAAAAATAGCTAACGTTTACTGAATGCTAGCTATATGCCAGCACTGTTGCTAAATATTTTATCAACTAATTTCTTAGAAGACTTTTTTAATATAATTTTGATTATTATCACCATTTTATAGATGAGAAGACTGAGGCACAAAGCTGTTAAATTATGAGTACAAGGCCACACAGCTAGTATGTAGGGCATTAGCAGAGTATGAGGAGATGACATTGATCAGAGAAGTCTCCTATTTTATCTTGGCTTTCTTGATGATCAAACTTACCTGTGTGTTCCTTGGCCAAAAGGTAAAATTTTACATATGGAAGACTCAGCCTCTGGCTAATATGATAATAGAATCATACTTTCCATTACAAGCTTTGTGAATGTAATTTTGTCACAATTGCAATTCAACATTGGGAAATACTGTATATAGGTACATACATACATACAAGATTTTTCAAGGACAAATAAACCCAAATTTTGTATCATGTCAAACCTGAAAATATATGTGGCAGATTTGAAAATCTTCAAAAAATATCCAATACTAGAGGTTATGGAGTATGATTAAAACATAAAAATTTATGAAAAGTCTTGTCCAGTAATGGTTTTTGCTAGAATTAGCTTATTTTTTTTCTGTTATCTGTTAGTTTAAATTCTACACTAGCACAATGTGAGGTATATGGTATATGCTGAATAAATATTAGTTTCCTATCTTCTAGAAGAAGCCATGTTGGCATTTATAAGAATCAGTGATAATGATTAACAGGTTTCTTGGAAAACAAATGCTGTCCAGTTTAGAATATACCATTGGAGCAGTTTGTGAAAATGACTTTGTACTGAGGGAATTTTCATTTTCAGTATTATGAAGACAAATAAAAGAAAACCAAATATCCTTTCTGAGGAAATGTTCCATTTTTAAAGACAAAATGAAACTGTTGAAAACTGGGAAACCGTCATGAGGTTATCCGTAATAAGACAGGAGAGAGCATTCCAGCATTGCTTTCATTTTGCAAAATCTTCTATCACAGAAAAGTAGTTTGAATTGTCTGTCTTGTTTTCAATTTTTCCAAAATATATTCAGACAAAATAGCTTGAATTGTTTATCTTGTTTTTCGATTTTGTTCCCGATTTATTTCTGATTATAGCCTTTTTGTGAATTTAGATGCTCTCTCTTTGGGGGAATGAATAGCATTATGCTTAATCTTCTCTTGCCTATCCAAAATGAATGCAGAAAACTTCCCAGCATAATAAATTATTTTTCTCATAGAGCCCTTCTCATTTTCTTCCAGGCTGTTCTGAGCCTCTGGGGATGAAATCAGGACACATACAGGACTATCAGATCACTGCTTCTAGCATCTTCAGAACTCTCAATATGGACATGTTCACTTGGGAACCAAGGAAAGCTCGGCTGGACAAGCAGGGCAAAGTGAATGCCTGGACCTCTGGCCACAATGACCAGTCACAATGGTTACAGGTAATATTTTCTAAAAATGTCTCACTACCTACTTCTCCTCTCCTTAGAAGATTTCCTGTTGCTTAGATAAATATCAGAGTCATTATCTTCATACTAGTTTAAATGTACCTTCCTCTGTGGTTTAACTAAATGGGTAAAACAAAAATTCCTCATGAATCCGTTTTCGTGTTCTATTTTTACTCTGATGTTGATTTATAGATGCTACTGTCAGACTGATGCAGCAGTGTGGACCAAATCACACTACATATAGGTCAATTTGATTGATTATGAGAGGATTTGCATTTTAACTCTCATCTATTCTAAAGCTTTGTGTCAATATTGGTTTGAAAGCATCACAGCAGGA